CTAGCGGGGTAAAGCTTTCGCCTGCACAGAGCTGCATCTCAGTTGCTGCTCTGCTCCACGTGAAGAGTAACAGACAGCCCTTTCAGAGCAGCATAGCAAGAGCCCGTCTCTCATGCACACATAATCCCATTCCCCCTCCACTCCTTTCATGCATGGTTATCCTCACATCACACAGCAACCCCCACCCCAAACACACACATGATGCGAGTGGTCAGACACAAGGCACCCTTCAAACAGCTCCTCACACACACACACACACACACAGACCTCATTACACCCTCTCTCTCACATATACTCTTGTCCCGTAATGCCCTCATACCACCCCTTCAAAACACCTTACCCCATACCACACACCACCTTGTGCACACACACCAGGTCTGACTGGGTGCCATATCACAACCACCACACCTCGTCTTCACTGCTGGCCTGCCTCCCTTGTGTTGACAGACTCAGGAAGCACCACCTGTGTTTTCCTTCCCTCCCCTCCTCACTTCACCTCTGGCCTTGGAGCAGGAGGCCTTTGGAGGAGCCAAGCCCAGCAAGCAAATGCTTTTTCAATATGGAGCTGAAGTTTCCCACCTCTACTGTGTCAGGGGAGTCATCAGAAGAGAGGCCCAGACAGGAGGAGAATGAATGGGGCCGCCTGTAAAAGACAGCTGCAAATTCCTAAGGGACTTCAAGCCTGACCCATGGCAGGGGTCACTGCCTGCTGGCACTTTCACTCACACTAGGCTCGCCCCCATGGGCTCACCCTAGGCAGAGAGCTACTATGCTACCTTTGCTCACAGATCCTGAGAGGCTTATGGAATGATTTGCTCCACTCGCATAGATTCATAGATGATAGATGATCTGTTGAGGTCAGAAAGGACCTCAACAGATCATCGAGTCCAACCCCCTGCCTGGGCAGGAAACAGTGCTGGGGTCAGATGACCCCAGCCAGATGCCTATCCAGCCTCCTCTTAGAGACCCCAAGGTAGGGGAGAGCAACACCTCCCTTGAAAGCCCATTCCAAATTTCCCATATGTATACCCCTCCCCCATAAAAATTCTCCCCTTTGTCCCCTCTTCCCAAGAAAAGATAGTGGCCCAGTGGCAGAGCAGGGAAGACATCTCACTATGGCTCAAGAGGCATGAATTTGAGCCCTGTCCCCACACTTATGCCAAAGATGACCCTCCACCAGGAGGGATACCTGACATTCAGATGGGGGCTGGGGGAAATGGGATGGAATGAAGTCATCTCAATATGATAATAGCCACATCACTGCCATTGTTTGAGCTGCTGCACTAGCTTTCATTAGTACTATATTTGGCTGTGAATGCACTGGGGAGAGCATGGGGACAAACTAAGGCAGACAGGGACCTATTTATTTTGTAAGTTCCTGCTAGGTGCCCTAGACCCACCTCCCCAGAGGCAGGTGCGGGGACTGGGGAGGGAGGACACAGATGCAGCATCCTGAGGAGGCTACAAGAAAAAGTGGTTTGGAAATGAAGATTTTGGTGTGATCGAATATGTGCCCCCTGGGGAGAGGCTACAGATATATTTCATACATAATAAAATAATATTTAAAAACAAGCCCACACCAGGTAACCTTTACAAAGTCTCAATCCACACTGCAGTACTCATGTGACCATGCATAATCCTTTCGGGCTGGCTAGTCACTCCCATTATAAGGGATGAGACAGAGGACAGCTCAGAGACCTGCAGGTGGGATACAGAGTTTTAATATCCAGATTACCTTTCAAAATGCATCAAGGATTTATAGTGATCAAAGTTACCATAGTCTATTTAGTGCTTTGTGAGTAGAGGGGCCAAGCCAATTTGAACAAGAGACCCTTCCCGCCACACACCTTTTAGCAGCTGAGCAATGTGTGAGACTTTGACTGACAATTATGGAAGCGATGCTCTTTCTGTTGCTTTAAGAAATCCATCTCTCAACCTCTTTTGCAAATCCCTCACTCCCCCCAGGGCTACAAAACAACAGTCATTTTATCTCTGCTGCAGGAATTAGCTGCTAGTTTCAACTAGTCCTCCAAGGCAGGGTGAACAGAGATCAGCTTAGGCATCAGTCCCAAATGCTAAACTACAGCTGCCAACAGGTCAAAAACATTGCCAGGGCTAATCCACTTTATGAAAAGGGCCACCAGAGACTATCAGTGGGTTGAGTATGCATATAATTATGGGGGACTGTAGGGATCCCTTTGAGAAGGCTGAGGGTTACAAGTATCTAAGAGTTTGCCAGAAAGCACAGAAAACGCTCTGGTTACCCCAGCTCATAATAAAAAAATAAAATCATACCCTGAAAAAACATTGCTCCTTGTTTTTCTCATGCATGTCCCAATCCCAGTTCTCTCCTGCACATTGTTTCTGGATCAGGCTAAAGCTCTTACAGTGCTCCTATTGAGTCCTGAAGCTGGAAGGAGTCCTGGGACCCAGTTGCTCAGGTCCCAAACACACGTGCTGGCCAGTTCCTCCAAAGACCATCCAGACTTTTGCCTATCCCAGAACTGACAGCCTGCTCTGGAGTATTTCAAACCATTGCATGGCAGTTATAGTTGGCTTTCATCTTCCAGAGGCAGGAGAGAGAATGCAAGATGGGATGACAGAAACCAGTCACAAACTGTGGACTACATTGCAAATCTGCGCCTGCATTTATCATTGGCACGTGGTGTTTCAGACTTACACCAAGCTGCTACTGAAACCATGGCTCTTGACTGATCACTTACCACCTCTCCTACCTGAGAGAGAAAAGAAGGCTCTTCCCCTTCCAGACACAGTTCTTCCCAAGGTGGGATCTATTTCATGGTTCTCCAACACCTGGGAAATACACTGCAGCTGTCTTGTGTCCCTGTATCACTCTTCTCAAAGACTGCGGGGATCAGTGGGAGGTTCTCTCTTGGGTGTCAATATGCCCCAAGGGGAACCAGCCTTTTCTCCACATAGCACTGAAACTTTGTGGGGAAGGGGACATGGAGTCCCATGGGGTGTCACCTGTTCATTTAACCCACCTTCAGCATCATTTCTGAAGACCCATGCAGTGACATCAGTGTCCTATCCCTGCTACAGGTAGGGGGCAAAGCCATTAATTTCTCACCCTCCTGCTGCAGCCTCTGGTCCTCCTCCCTCCTCTCAGCAGCAGGAGGCTGGCAGTAGTGGTAAAATCTCACTCATTATTCCCTTTCCTGGTTCCAGCTCAGTAGCCCCAGCCAGGGGCCATTTGCCTCCTTGACCTTTACACCTTGTGTGAGACTTTGTAAATGTTGTGAGAAATAGAGTTGCATTGGCAGGGAGGTACTAAGTGGAAGCCTGGAGCATTACCATTCACTATTTGCTATCTAGCTTGGTGCAGGTGAGGGCAAAAATGATGAACCTGAATCAGTCCTCTGGCAACCCCCGGGGTCCCAGCCCAACACTAGATGTGGTTAGACTAGATCTGTCCAGAGGGAGATGGCAGGACTGTCCTGCACACTAGTTGCTCAACCTCAGTCAGTGCTGGAGATGGCTGTCTCCCTTCAGTCACCAGAGCTGGAAGGGAAAGGTAGCAGCCCAGGTAGATGGAACAACAGCGGCTTTGTCTAAGCAATGACACTTGAGAGAGCACTAGGGAGGGCCCAGAGGCAAACAACGGTACTAAGGAGTGGTGCATGTGCTGCTTTCCTCGTCTTTCCTAAACGCAAACCATGCCCTCAGTAATCCCATCCACCTCTCCCCTCCCCTCCACTATCAGGCCACCAGCAAAACACAGCCCCCATTCTGCTCTGGAATGTGCTCTCCGAAACTTAATCTAAGTGCAGAGCCCAGGCCAAATCCCCTCATGGATTCAACCCAGGGATGGCCTCCCCCTCCTACTCAGCCTTGGCGCGCAGTAACTGCAGCTCCACTTCACTCTCCCTCGCTTTCTCTTTTTTCCCTCCCACCCAGCCCGGCCTAAACATTTCACTTCTGATTAATGTCTCGATGACAAGCCAATAGTTCTTGGCTTTAGAACAAAACCAGCCCCTGTTTTGCACAAACATCTCTTCTCCTTCAGTCTTTGAGGCAAATCCCCTTCCCCAGTACCCTCCGTCAGGCCCTCTCATTATCAGCTGAGAGAGGTTACAAGGCAGCTCTCTGTACCTTGGCCATTAGGGGTAACAGTGTTCTTCTCGTAGACTCCCCCGCTAGCAAATGTCTAGAGCAATTCTGGGAGGCTGCTGTCTTAGTTACTTAACTCTTTTACTCCCTTGTCCCTTCTTTGGGGAGCCCCTTAATTCTTCCAGGTGATGCAAGAAGGGTCAGCTTGTCAGTGCCTGCACCACCAACCTGGTGGCATAAGAGAATCCTTCAATTTAACCAGCTGAATCATCTCACCACAATGTGGCTGTGATAGCTGCCGTCTTGGCTGGCTCTAGGCACTGAACTAGCGACTTGCCAAGCAAAAAACAGGAGGTCTTTTAGCTTGAGCTAAGAGCCAAGACTCGCTAGGCAAGCACTGTAACTGTTTCTCGTTCTTTGAGGATCAAGAAGAGACAACTAAAAAGACATGTTGACCAGTTAGTTACACGGCCATAGGTGGGTATTGTGGCTGTGTGTGCATCATGTATCAAATGACCGTGCTCCTCTGTCATCATGGGGTGAGAAGACAGATGGTCAATAAAGGGATTTTTTTGGTAGTGGTAACTGCAGTCAATAAGGAAGTAGTGAATGAAATGATCTAAGAAGCTCACTCAGATACCATGGCAATACTCAGGTGCCTTATCGTATGTCTACACTACAGTGGCAGTGTGTCCCAGAAAGAATGCCCCTGAGCACTCCCTACCCACCCACGCCCTCAAGTATGCTCCAGTAATATGCTTTTCTCAAAGCCTGGGAGCAAACTAGGATTTGCTACTGCCACAATGGTTACTCCAGGACCAGCCTATCCCACTGCATCACAAGCCCTGACAGCCCCAGGACTGGAGTCCCAATCAACATGAGGGATTAAAACAAAAAGGAAGAGATGGCAGAGGACAAAAGCTACTCACTGGCTAACGTCACTGTGGCTGGGACACTGGCCACAACCCCCTCAGGTACACGAGCGATACACTGATACCGGCCTACGGTGTGGTTGTTGAGAGCAAGGATGACGAGTTTCCCTGGCTCGGTGTGAATCCCCAGCACCTCATCTGACTCCATCAGCTCCTTCCCATTCAGTCTCCAGGTAACGTTCACTCTCGTGGGGTTTGCCACACAACCCAGACTCACCACGCCACCATATTTTTGGACAATGGAGGCAGGTTGGACCGTGACTTGCAGAGACTCGCCTATGCAGTGGGTGGGGAGAGAAGATGAAATACATGTGAGCACGAGCACACAGAACAGAAGATGAGCTCCTCTGCTGACACATCCTGCTCTGCCTGGCAAGCACCACTAGTGCTGACAGATTCCTCTCATCTCTTTAGACAAAGCCTTTCTTAGAACTGTGCCATGATTACATCTCAGGTAGAGTGAGGGCTAGACTGAGAAGCCTGGCTCCTGATATGGAGCACCCCAGAGCTTAGAATATGCTGGGATCCAGGGGTCTGGCTTGATCTACTGGAAAGCGGAGGATGTAATTCTGACCCTGAAAGTCCAAGCAACATTTGGTTCCAGGTTCCTGTTCAAACTGCTATTTCCAGCCTTTGTTCAGCTGTGGCTGAAGCTGACATGGGGAATCATTTATGCTTGGGGATAGCATCAAGTTGCCTAAGCCCTCATCAAGGTGCCTCCTTTAGGGAGGAAAGTACCATAGGAAACTGTCGGGAGCCTGCAGGCAAAGCACAGAAGTAAGAATACATTAACATTCTACCTGGGGCAAAGCCACAAAAACTTTGCCCTCATGAAAAATACTGGCCTCTCCAGACCATCAGAGTGCACCATTCATCTTGGCCAAGCTGCAGTCATGAAACTCCTGGCCCTTCTCTTGGCTCATTCTGATCTGAGCTAAGGGGAAGACAGGGAACCAATGCTCTCATCTGCTGGAGTGTGTAACCTCAGCAGCAATCATCTCCAGTGCACTGCCTTCAAGCAATGCTGAATCAAAGTTCCCCCTCACCTCCAGGATAGTTTCTTCATACTCCCTGGGTGGGCTACCTACAAATGGCAGGAAAGCAGCCTAGAGCTCTTCCTTACCCATGATTTCCACTGCAGTGGGAATGTGGGGTGTCGACATTATGTCCAATAGGGCAACAGCCATTTAGGAAGAGCAGGAAGACGGGGATGCTGGACCTTGGTTGACCTAGGTTAAAGGAAGGGAGCTGTGTCCAGGTGTGTGGATTCTCTTTGGGACATTTTCCCTTGGAAGGATAAGGAAGCAGGGTCAATTGCATGTTCTGCAAGTACGTGACAGTGCAAATGGCCCCTTTACAACTGTGGGGGTGGGGAGGAGCTTGATGCTTTGGGGATGGAAAGCAGAGTCCATTCCCAGAGGCACTTCAGGATCTTCAGTTATTTGTACTGTTTTACATTTGCAGAATACAAAAATGAGAACGGCATGGAACTCACCTAAATTAGCAAAGCAACTAGCAGCTGCTAGGATAAGGCAGGGGATGGTGGCCACTGGTCTCTTCCTTCCAGGTGTCATTGTCATCCCATGCAGCGTAGCCTGGAGCAGAAGGGCCCAGGCAGGGTTCCCATAAGTTGCCTCAGAAGACTCAAGGAGGTGCTGTGGCTTCCTGCGGTGCCCTGCAGAAGACAGGAAAGAAAAGGGGAGGGGGGAATGTCAAACAAGTCCCTCGTATTCTTTGTCAATCCTTAGCAAATCCCCGAGACTGAAGATCCAAGCGTATTACAAAAGTCAGCTCAATGGCAATTCTCCCCATACCTGATCCCAGCTCAGATATCACTGCCTCTCTGCAGGTACTTTACAAGAGGAAGGGCAAACCCTGGCCAGAGTCCAGTGCAAAACAATGCTCTGGGCTGCTCCAATACCAACTAAGCTCCTGAGGGGTGCAGAAAGCCAAAAGTGGCCCACATCTAACAGAACACTTGCACCTTCTCTTAGACAATTCATTCAAATCATTTTACAGATGCCAATAAAGCACTAAAATGCCCCCACCCCCCAGGAGGTTAGTATTGTCATCCTCATTTTTCCACATAGAAGAAATAGATACAAAAGGCATTTAAGGAATTGTGGGTCCTTCTGAAATCTGGGCTCTAAGGGCCTCCCCACCACATGCGTGCTCAAGCTAGAGATGGAAACAATGCAACTGCCTTAAAATGGTAAGCTCTGTCATGGCTGCGTTTAATGCCACATACCTAGTGCTGCTCGAGGGTAGCTGTGTTGCATCCATTTCTGTGTACTGCATGCAAAGAGTAGATGTACTGTGCCTCACACAGTATTGCTCCCTAGCATGGTCTGGACATGTCAAAGTTCACCCAGCTGGTCAGGTATCACAAGTCTCAGACAGAATCACACACGCATGGACACACATCACGCTCTGAGCACTGTGCTATGCTATCTTGGCACACCCCATGACTTTCGGGAGCTAAACATGAGCATTCTTAGCAGAGTGTGGGTTAGGATATTTGTTGGGTTGACTTTCTTTTTGGCTGTGACTATAAAGACAGTATTTTGGTTTAAATGGGAAAACAAAAGAGGCTTTTTTCCCCTGCAAGCACACATACTCCTGGGAAACAGGGATTATGACAGGCTGAGGGGAGAAACCATCACTGGATCTATCAATAAATCCACAGATCTATTTCAAGCATGCTTCTCTATTTGATCTAAGGGCACATCTACCTGTGGAGTTACTCTTGAACACCTATTCTCAATTAATTCTCTGTGTGGATGTTCTTATTCCAGAATAAGGGTGTGGACATGGGAACAATTTAGTACAGGGTAAAAAGTAGGGCTTTACTGCACATTGCTTGTTCCATAGAAATGGTCTACGTGCATGCCCTTGGTAGGCGGAAGCTAAACTGTGACAACCTGCCCTTTGAAAAAAGAGGAATAAGTTACAATGGGTTTATCCTCCACTTGCTGTGGGACAAATGAGCAGTTACTGCATAGCAGCTGACATAAGGCAAAGCCCTGCCCCCTGTTATCCTGTGGTGAATTGTTCAAACACCCACAGCAGATTGGAACTACCTTCATTACAAGGGCAGGGGATTTAAGGAAAGGAGAAATGTTCCTGTCAGACAATGCAACAATATGCATTTTGAATACCCTCTAGACACATTTTCTCTATAGCGCTACTTAGTACCTGGAATTGACAGCCCCAAGGTGCTGCTTAAAAGAGAGTTTCAAAATTATTAACACTAAAGGTGCTGGTAGTGTTGGTGCAGAAGTCAAAGCCTGGACTAGTTCTGGAAGCCAGAAAGCTAATACAGTATATGACATTTTTTGCCATGGTGATATCAAGTAGCTAACTGCAACTGGTATCCTGGAGTCTTCAAAACAGCATGAGGCTTTTATATCCCAGTTATCACTTTACCCTAATACCTACCTGTGTTTTAGCCTCTTTTCATGACTGTTTTAAATCAAAAGGAAAGAGAAGTAAGTTATGTTGCTTTTGCTAGAGAGAACACAATGTCCCCAGCACAGAGCATCTGTCAAGCAGCTTAGGGCTGGAATGTTGGTTTATTAGATATAAGAAGAAAATAAATGTTTTTCAGGACCCCAAAGCAAAACAAAACTCAAAACAATTTGGGGGCTGATTTAAGTCTGCCTTGGCAGTTCTGGAAAGCTGGAGAGCAAACCACCTTTCACCTCTCTGGTTTCACCTTGTTTTGGCAGAGGGAGGAATGAACATTAAAAGGAAAAGAGATGTTTTGGGGTACCTGTTGGGAGAAGGAGGAAGGGGAGTTCTGATCAAGACCACTTTGTAATTCTCATAAAACACATCTTGGCTTGATACACAGAGGCAACAAACCAAGATGGATAGATACACACTTCACAGCTAGGATTACCGTGTGCATACACAATTAATTACCAAATTGACAAAGTCCACCAAATGAAGGAGGGCCACAGGTGGCTGTGGAGAGAGACCAGTAAATTCAATCAACATTCTTGATAGATTCCAGAGATTTGGTGTGGGATGGAGAGGGGTAGACAACTCAATGGTATGATAGTTCTCCAGACCTCTGCTAGAGCACTGGTGCTACCACAAGGATACTGACCTTTCCTTTTTTAGCCAGGACTGATAAAAAAGTAAACACATAGCATAAAACATGGAAAATTAATGAAATCATGACTACTGCTCAACATCGAGGACCGGATTCGCAAAAGCATTCAGCTCCCAGCCTATATCGGGCTCATCTGAGTATCTGGACACTTATTTGGTGCCTAAGCAGGAGCTCAGCAGCTCTGAAAAACCTGCCCTGAAGCTGTCTGCATTAAACACAGAGCAAAAACTCAGAGAGAAGTAGATGCCTCTGTCAGCTGAGGTTCTGTCACCACCCCGGCTTTCTTTGTACCTGGGTAAGAGAGAGGGGCTGAAGGGAAAAAGCTCAGCTCTCAACTTAAGGAAAGAACCTACCCCAATTCCCCCATTACATCTCATTTGCAAATCCAGGGCATGTGGTCCCCTGGCACTGGGAAATCGTAGGCTTTCAGTCCCAATGAATTATTTTCCATCTTTCTACCCAACTATACAATGAGGGCTCACTCAAAATACTCTTAATTTCCTTTTCTTCTTTCCCTGACAAACTTCCCCTTTTTCTTGCAAAAGCTCTTTCCAACAATCATCAAGACCGTGAGTCCCAACACCACCTTAGACCTTAACCTCAGCAGCTGCTCTGGGAAAGAAAGAGTTAAAATAATTTAAGGGGCTTCAACAGGGGGAAAGGCTCTCTCTCACTCTTTTTTTTTTTTAATGCTTTCCTGTCAGGTTAAAATAACAATTTCCTGTCAGTGGAGGGAAGGTAGTAAGTCCCTTTCAGACAGCCCAGTAAATCAAAGGCTGGGCCATTAGCAGAGTGAGATTAACGAGGGCTTCATCAGATGTGTGGAGTGTAAAAACTGTCAACCAAGCTCCCTGCCCCACACACACTGCACAGAATAAATGGGAAGGATGGGGGTAGGTAAACCAGAGAAGGGAAGATAGCAAAGTAATAAGAAGAGAGAAAAAGGAGGGAGGAGAAGCATAGAGATTTGCATTAAACACAGGCAGCAACAGAGGTGTTTGCTGATTAAAAGCTGAAGGTTTTACTGAGGAAATGCTGCCCACAGCTCCAGACCCCCTCCTGCTTAACAAGGCCCAATCAAACAATTCTTGTTGCTACCACACTGTTTGTAATTTATGAGGTTTCCAAATGGAAAGCAGCCCTGGTTTCTGCTCTTGGACATGAATGTGCTCTTTATAGCTCCAGGCTGGAAGGAAGGTATGCGAGGAAGAAACGAAAAGCAAAGTGAAAGAAGGAAAACACTGAAGACAAGAAGAGTCCGTCCTGTTTTGGGATGACTATCAACGCTTTCCCCCACCAGTGCTGGGGCTGGAAGAAATCAATATAGCTTGGTAGTGTGATTGATTAGTGCCGAGAAATGGGAACAGTTTTGGGTTGATTCCACTGCCACTGACTCACTCAGTAAACTTGGTCAAGATACGTAATCTTTACGCTTCAGTTTCCCCTTCAGTACTTTGGGATCGGAGGACAAAAGGTGCAACAGCAGTGCTAAGCACTGCTTTCAGATTTTATTTTTACCTGTACCTGCAAGAGCCTGGCACAATGCTGATGGATTTCCCTGTGGTGAAATGGATACCAGAACAGAACAGAGAAGGAGCTCAATTTAAAGGAGCTTCTCCAAGGACAGTCTGACTTGTGGTATAGCTTCTGGGCAAAAAGATACAGATGCCCCCCCATTTTTTATCTCCTTTGGCCATTTAGATTCCCTTCTCCCCATGACAAGCTGCAAAGCTGAGCTGCCATTAAAAAGCCTAGCTGCATTGATTTTGCCCAGCACCTCTTGAGCTGAAGCAGCCTGTGGAAACTGGGACTCCTGTCTCAGCCTCCTCGTAAATGCCACCTTGTAGCAGCTGTACCCTAGACTACACTTCAGTGGAACTGCACACAAAATTAGCAGCGCACACTCATCTCGTAGTCCGCAGGGGCCAGACGTGACTGAGAGAAACCAGGGTATGAATTCAGTAGTCACGGGCAAGAGAGTAAATCACCCACTTCTTCTGTTGCTTGGTGACATTTACAAGGGAGTTAAGGCAGAAGGCCAGTTTACATCAGCCGCCTCAGGTCAGACACACCAGTCTGTGCACACGGGTTTTCTGAGAGGCCAGTCTGCTCAAAAGCCCAGGCTGCAAACACTGGGGAAGTCTGGCTGTAGATCCAGATACAAAATGTAGCGACCTGGGAACATCTGTAGATTTTAAGCGACTATCTGCAGTTGATGGGACAGGCAGAATTAATGGTCATGGGCTGAGACTACATTTTTGGTTGTTCCAGCCTGTTAGGCAACCTGTTTCTTCCTCATGCAAGTGAGGGAAGGGAGGAATAATTTACCTTTGGAGAAGTGGGATTTTTTTGTGATTAAGTCACTGAACGGGAAGACCCCCGAGATCTACGCTACAGCTGCACTGCGTGACACTGAGCAGTTCACTGCCACACTCTGCATCTCAGTAGAATAGGAATAATACTAGACTTCTCTCTTAGCTTTTGTCCAATCAGATTTCAGCTCTTCAGAGCAGGAATCATCTCTTACACTCTTCAGTGCCTGGTACAAGGCCCAAATA